AAATTGAACATATCATTTCTAGCCCTTTCATTACAGATGTTAACGGCTTTGTAATTTTCTAGCATGTTTTTCAAATGATTGTTTTGTTCATTTTTTTTTTTTTTTTTTTGAAGATTTATGTCTAAAATTTACTGACAGACAAAGCTTATGACTGAATTCTGTATCTTAGTTTACTGTTAGCAATTTTCGAGTTTTAATATGATGATTTGATAATTTATGAGGGATGCTTTTGAACCATATCTGATACATTTCTGACTATTTCAGTATTGCATTAATACTAACTAAGACTAAATTCTTCATCAATTAAATTAATTTACATGCATACAACTTTCCACATTACTAAGTAAAATTATTTTGTTAGGAAAGATACTTACTTTCCTTATCTCATTATATAAATGAGATTATTTACTGCTTATTTCTTTATATTTATTGAAATAAAATTCATACTCTCAAACCATATTGTATATCAGAAAAATATAAAGATTTAAAACTTGCTAATTGATTAAAAATTGTTCAACAGTAAAATATCGCAAGCAGCTAAACATGGAACTAAATGGAGAACTGTATCCTTTGGAGGTTTTTATGAGGACCTGGTAGATTAGAATCGGAGCTCAGTACGTACGTTATTGATTCATACTGTAATCACTTTATATCTTGATGAAAAAAAACTTCTGGTTTTTAAGATCCATTATTCAATAAATCTAACCTTACTCAACACACCTGACTAATAACCTAATCTAATCATTGTTAATGAGTTGTAATTATTGAAGTTATTATTAGTTGTATTTTTTATTTAAATTTTTTTAAGAAACTACTCTTTACCGACTGATATCATTGACTTTTTCTGTTAGAAATGCACCATTTCATTGTGGTCACCGGAATGGTACAAGCTGATTGCAGAGTGAATGTTACTTCAAGCTTCCTTCAGTTACAGTGAATGCTTCATAGCACATCTTTTGAAACTTTTTATTCTACTAATTAACTTCAGTTAGATAGCTAAAAAAAAAAACATGACCGGTTTCAGCATATCAAATTAAAAAAATTCTTCAACAAATCAAAACTTTCAACATGACATAATACGGGTGCATGTCATAATTTTGATTATCATCAAGCTATGTTTTTTAATTTTGATTAGTAAGCTAAAAAAGTTTTAACGTCATGAAATGTTTTGGGTTTTTTTTTTCTGGAACATGTTTGCAAAATTTGAAATTGACTTTTTATTTCAAAACAAGAAAATATAATAGCAACAAATTATTTTACATTAATACCATCCTACATTTTACTTAAGTACTACTTTACTTTAATATTATTTAAGAAATTAGTAAGTTTTGACGCTCTTACTTCCTGATAAGTTTTTTTTAGCAATGAAATTATGCCACAAAGTTCGAAAAAAAAAACTTTGGAAAAATTTGCTTCAAATGTGCACAGAGTGAGTTCACACAAGAAAAGCAATAGGAAAACTTTGTGGGTGGTGTGACTGATGCCATTATGCAGGGTGTTATTGTTGCATGTTTCTCACGTGTGTTCCATTGAAAATGCAGTGTGAACAGAGGAAGTCGTTTGTAAAAGCTAAAGTTAAATTTAGATTCTCTATATTTTAGCGGGAAAATTTCATTTGATTGGAATTTGTAGATTATTTTAGCTTACTTAATTCAGCTTTTGGTATAGGTAATGAATGTCAAGTTATTATCACGATTATTACATATATTATTGCAATTATTATCTCACACATTTAATAGCTTTTTATCCTGAAAGTGTAGTTTTACAACTGCTTGACCTTTATCCTGGATAATTAGCATTTGATTACCGAATTTCATGCATCAAAAACCAGCCTATTTCATTTTTTATCCATGAAAATGAGAAATATCATTTATATGTGTCACAAATTTGATATGCTCGTTGTTGACATTCTTTTTCATATTATATCTTCAACTTCATTTTTTTTTTTTTGGAATTTTTTTTTGTGACATTTTGACTTGCCTCACTAAGTAATTATAACAACTTGTAACTTGTAAAAGCAAGAAAAAAAAAGGAAAATAGATAAAATAAATTTAGTGTTCATAGTAATGTTGTATAATGGAAATGCAATTAAACTACTAAGCACAGTCCGTAACAGAATTATTTTTCAAGCATCATATCCACAATATTTTTTGGTTTCTTCTATTTCTATCTCACATATACAACTTAAAAAACAAACATATATTATTAATTATCAGCAATATTTGACACTGAAACTATCCTTTAAAGCTCAAAAATGTCCTTAGTACAATGCTATCATGCATATTTGACGAGATGTGAAACATTGCTACTTCATATACATTTTCATAGATTGTACACTTCTTTCATTCATAATCTTGCGGAGAAATACACGTTAATCAGAAACTTTTTAAGTATAAGACGGATTATATCAAATAAGAAACGTAATAATTTTATTACTTTTGCGCTACTACAGCAGTACTGATTGAGCAAATAATTGTAAACTGAAAGGTATTATAGCTGCTGTGTTGATTTACAACTGGAGCAAGGCCAGAATTGTTGTAGTGAGTCCTTGAAAGGCAATGTATGGGAGTGTAGAAGATTTATTTTGGTAAGAATATCAGGTTGTACTTGTAGATATTGGTAAATATTAATCGAGTAGGCGAAAGGATCAATTTTCAGAGATATGTTTAGAGATATCCGTTGGTTAAGCAATCATCGACGACAGTTTGTTGCTATTTCGATTGAGCAGATAGCACTTTATGAAGATGTTGACAAATGTCGACCAAAGTTACTTCATTGTTTGCCATTTAATCAAAATAGCGAAGAGGTAAAATTTATTGATGCACTTTTAAAGAAAATTTTAATTATTTTTCAAAGCAGAAAGTTATTTGTATTAGACTTTATGTTGTATTCTCTTCAACAGTTGCAGCAGCTTGAATGCACGAGGTGAAAATTTATTAAAGAAGGATAGACGAGTATTTTGTTAAAATCGTCCACATATTAATTACCAAGCAGTCACTGTGTGCTTCAATTGGCATCCGTTCACTTTTACAGGAACGTCTCCAGTCCTTTGACTTGAGTCCCTTATCTGATGAAGCTTTAGCATTGGGCTACGCAAATGGCAAAGTAGTATTATCAAAAGTTGCTGCAGAACCGGTCATGAAGTAAATTTTATTATTAAAGTTTCCCTGCTAAAGGTTCAATATTTTTTCTAAACATTTACTTCTTTTATCGTTATCAAAAAAGCAGATCTATTTAGAAATCTTAACTATACTGTGGAATTAGCTCGTGACGTACGAAGAGCGGTTACTTTCCTGAATTTCAGTCCAATTATGAATGTTCATTTAGCTGCATGTTTCGAAAGGTATACTTTTTTGCCTCATTTATATTTTGACTGGCAATTGAACAAAAATACACATTTGGCACTTCTTTGATGCAAAGTTTTTTCAGGGGACGTTCTCAAGATTATACTGTTTGTGTTTATGATGTCAGTAATCCAAAGTTACATGTTTTCTGTGTGAATTGCAGTGAAGATGTAACAGATCAAACTTGGCTCAAGTAAGCTGTATAGGGAAATTCATTTGAAGTTATTGTCTTTAATGAATCGAAAAAGAAAACAATTTGAACATGGAATCAGAAATTTCGGCCATCTCCATGTATTTCTTTCTAATCAAATTGAATAATGAGAACTGAAGACAAATAATTTTTTGAGAACACAGGGACAGTTCGAGCATGCTTTGCCTGGGATGTTCTCGTTCGATAAAGTTTTTTGACCTACGTGAAGGTTCTCGGCCAGTATGTTCCTTTTCTGTTTCTAATCAAGTGCGAAGCATAAGTGCTGGTGATGTACACTTGTGTATTGCATGTATCATTGAAGATTACGCATATATTTATGACCGAAGGCATTTGACTTCTCCTATTTACAAACTACCAGTTTCGTATTTTGTAAGTTATTAATATTAATAAAACAGTTATGACAAGGCTGATTCTTTAGTCGGTTGTGTTCTATAACAGATTTCAAATAATCAAGTATACTAAAGTCGAGACTTTTAACGTAGTAATAATTTAATTTAGTGATGATAGGTTCTTTGTTTCTTATCTTTTGGAAAAGATTGACATAAAATAACTGCAGAGGAAAAATGATACTGGCGCCGTAAAGATATTATGGAATCCTTATTTTACAAGTAGCTTGACATGCTTTCGTCGCAATGGCCGTGTCATTACTGAATTTATGTCTTCGAGTGAAAACACACTGGACGAACACGGAATCACGGAACTTGCTAGTGTAATTTCTCTCTTTAATCCTTTCAAGCTATTTTTTTGCAGTGAAAATTATTCTGTCCCCATGTTCTCTGTATTATAAATCTAATAGTGTTTAGCTTTCAATGACTGATACTGTTGATATGGTGCAAAGTGGATTTCGACGTATTCGTTATTCAGAGGATAGTGGTTCCATCAAATTGTCACATCCTTATTTAGAACTAAACCATAAGGTACAAAAACTAGAAAATTTCCAATGCAGTCTTCAATGAAATGGAAAATATCACATTCTTTAGTTTTTGTGATGTCATGTTAAATTGCTGCCTTAATTAGATTTTTTAAATATCGGTAGTTTAAGATTTTATTGTTAGGTGTATGGTGTTTCAAGGGTCTCTGGGTTCAGTTGGCATCCGGAGAAACGTGATCGGCTGTTAGTAGTTGCTCCAGATGGAGGGCGTGGCGCTTTTGAAATCAGACTTACTACTGTTTGTTGTTTGACATAAATTATTTTGTTTGATATTTAAAAGTCTTTCTGTTTGAAATATTTTTCCGTTTCAGATGTGCAGATTTGTAACTGGGGATTATTCATCACAAGGCTTTCTTGCTCATGCATTCGGAACTGAGCTTTACATACGTAATGCTGATTCATCAGCTACTGATATATCGCCTGATATATCATTTGTTATGAAGAATCGTGCTGCTAAAAATTTCGGAGCTCCTTCGAGCATTACTTTGGAAGGTTATTTGTTTAAATCACTTGAAATTGCTTCATGGACTGTGTTTATGCTCTGAATTATTTCAGATAATTAGTGAATTACGTTGAATGCTATATGAGCAATATATTGGTTACTTTTAGCTTATGTCCAGTCCTGCAAAGAAATCATTGATAATTGCCCATATTCATCATTTGAAATGAAATGGCTTTGGAAGTGGATGCGCCGTATGATTTGTATTGTCGACTGGAGGCCATGTGTCTATAAGACACTGTAAGCAAACATTCTTGAGTATTTTAAGTTTATTCATTTGGTTTTTGCCTTATAATTTTTCAGGTTCCCGGGTGTTATAGATCTTATGCAGTGCAGTTTGAATCCAGAAAGTGAAGAGTTAACTACAGAACGAATATTTGTGATTGATCCGTTTCTTGGACGTATCAGAGTAGGTTCTACATCTCAAATTTATGAATATACAAGTCATTATTATTGAGAGAAATTGGAGTTGCATTTCTTGCTTGCTTTTATTTGTCTTTACTTGTATCTCAGTAATGAACTGAACAGATGTTTAAAAAGTGTTGTTAAAAAAATTTTATGAATTTTCCCTGTGTCGATAATTTGAAGTATATGCTTTATAGTTGTACAGAGGAAAAGAACGAAACCGAGTGCTTCGTATATGTGGTTGGCCAGCTCTGGGCGATCTTACTCAGCTTGATATGTTCATCGAAGAAAATCTCATGGAACGGTATGATATTGTCAGTTGTTTATAACATTATTCTCATCTTTATTGTACTGAGAAATGTATTTGTGGCTATGTCATAACGTTACTTAGTTTTTAATTTGCATATTGTCAGTAATTTTTTTGAACTTGACTGCTTTTATTTGTAATATCTATTTTGTAAATATCTTTCATGTATTTAATAGCAATATTGTCTAGGGAAACACAAAATAGAGCAATTGCTGCAGCACTTATAACAGCCAATTCAACGAGAATTAAAAAAGTAGGTTCAAAAATTTTTTTTTGTATTAAAAAGAATAACTATCGTTTTCTGCCTTTATTTTTTTAGATTTTAAATTTGATGTTGGAAAAAGCTAAAAACTCTAGTGAGGAACTGCTGGAAGTAGAAACATTGAAAGAAGCTTTGCAACACTATCGGGGGATTTCAGAACAATGGTATTTTCATTCTTCTCTTTTTCGTTGTATAACTGAAAGTTTGAATTCAATTTAAATTAGTTTCAGGAGATCATCCTCCGAACGTTTGAAAAGCATTGTCAAGGACCCGTACTTGAGTATGGTTATAACCTTTTTGGATGGACACTGTGACAATTTTTCCAGTCTTCAGTGCATTATTCATCAAAAAGTTAGCTGCTCTATCAATAAAACTTCTTATGCGTTGCCAATGGAAGCAGCAGGATGAATGAATATTAAGGTATTGTTACGTAATATTAAAAAATTAATTAGCTTCTAGGACATTCCATTGGAGGACAGAATTGCTTTTGCTGCTATTCATCTTAGCGATCAGTATTTTATGAAATCCATGAGAGAATTGTTCATTGATGCGTGTTTGTATCGGAAACTTTCTGGTTTATTTATTGTTGGCATTTCTTCTGAAAAAGCTACTCATGATTTGTTATCCCAGTAAGTCATTTTTCTATTATTTTACATATTCAGATTTTTAGAGTTTTTCAGCACTGATGAATGTTCTCATGAATCTTATAATAATTAATAGATATTATTTAGATATGTAGATCATACCGGTGATATACAAACTGCTGCAGTTTTGTTAGCAATAGGACAGTGTTTCGTGAAAGATTATTTTTGGCCTTCAACTTATACGACTGAAGAAATTGCCAGTAGTGATTTTCAGCTCTTTATGGTTGAAGAAAAAGAAACAGTTATTGAGGAGTGAGATTTTAAACATCAAATATCAAATACTAATTCATTATCATCTTTGTTTTTTCTTTCTGCTTCATTATTTTTGCATCTATTATATAGCCCAGTTATTTCATGCGGTTTTAAAGTATATGTTTTCAGAAATGAGTATATGAAAAGAAGTTGTGCCATTGTCATCGATTATATGGATATGCTTAATACGTGGGGTATGTGGATACAAAGAGCTCGTCTTGATTGCGTTTTGGGCTGGAGGAGAGATTCTTTTTTCTTTAAATCGAAAATGAAACAAAGTGTTGAACAGGTTTGTTTGTTTTTGTATCGTATTTTTTCAAATATATAACTACATATTGCTGCATATATTAATATCTTTGATTTGGTCAACAGGTGGAAATATGTTGTCAATTTTGTCCTCAGAATATCACCATGGGTAAAGCAGATAACTCATCAGTTCCGGCATCATCTTCAGTATTGGTTCCAACTACCCGATCTCTTGCTAAGACGTAAGTTAACCTTAACTTGCATTAGCCTTGCATATTTCATTTCATTCTCTATCATCAAATACTGATTTCACTGTCTTTTGATGTCTTTTTTTCATATAACCTTTGTTTATTAATTCAATCTGCAGTTAACTGATAATATTTGATAAATTAGTAGCATAGTACTACCATTTCTTTTCTGAATTTTATTTTTTCCATCTATCAAAGCACCTAAATTTATTTTATTCAGATCTTCAGCTTCATCCTCTATTACTTTACGAGAAATGGCCTGTCCTCATTGTTTAAAACCACTCCCAAAATGCATCCTTTGTCATAGGCACATGGGTGCGTACGTTCAAACGGAATGTCGTGATCTTGGTCGCTTGTCTTCCTGGTTCACATGGTGCCAAGTATCAATACAATTATATTTTAATTTTAAGTTTCTGTAAGTACGTGTGGACTCCTTAAAAGTTAGAATAATAACTGCCTGTGTGGGCTCAAATTTGATGTTTTACACACCACTTTCAAAAATGAGAGCTTCTAATCTAATGTAGTCTTTTAAAAAAATATAATTTTAGGAGGGAAGTGATTTACGCTAAATATTTGCTGTTCGTTTTTCTAACACTTTTGATTTGGTGTTTCATTTTCTAGTAATTTTTAATTAATAAATTGGATTTCTAAATTGGAATCTGATCAGATGAGGAAGTAAACTATAGATGAGTCGTGTATTTGTATACTTTTTTTTCCAGAAATGTCGCCATGGAGGGCACTTGGCACATTTACGTCACTGGTTTAGCGAACATGAAGAATGTGCAGCTAGTGGTTGTTTGTGTAACTGTAAAGGTGAAGGATCAATGGAACTCAACACTGAGTCATCACAAACATGCAAGCTCTGTGAAGACTTATGATTAGCTATGTTAATCATCTAGTTACTCAGGCTTGTTTGAAATGTACCATTTTATCAGCATGATTCAGTGTTCTGTCTCTTTTTTCTGATTTGCTCAATGCCATTTCATTTTTTCAAAAACTACTAGTGTATGTATGATTAAACAATAATATGTATTACAAAGTGATATCAGGTGCGCATAAAAATGGTGCACCAGAGCTTTTTCATATTTTTTGTAATGCTGCAACTAAATTTTCAATTAGTTGGAATTACATTATGTTCGGTCTCATCACTTTTTGGGTTCCATTTTTGTAATAAAAAGAAGGTTACCTTAATATCTCTCATTATGTTGCTTTAAAAAGGGAGGTTTACTTATAATTTAAATCAGTGCTTCGCTGAACTAAAAAATGCTGAAGTGTAACAATAAAGAAATTGCCTTCATTCCGTATATGGGAGATACAACGAATGATGGCAATCGCTTCATGTTACTTTTTCTGCTTACAAAAAAAGGTTACCTTAATATTTTCAACCACAGTCAGGAGATAAAAAAGGTGCTGTATTGTAATGTGTTCTGAGAGAGACTTTGGCTTATTTTTTGAGCAGCCAACCCTTCCCCCCTGTGTACTGCAAAATTTAAATTAAACCTTTCTAAGATTTGTGCTTTTAGTAACTTCGCAGTGTCATTTCATCCTAGAATAGATAATTTCATTCATCGCTCCAAGTTTTTTACGGCTTACATTTACAGACTTTAATAAAAGTAAAGGAAATAGCATTTACATTACTCGATAGATTTCTGACTCATCATCTAGAATGTGGAGTTTGAGCAAATGGAAAACTGATTTTGAGATCAGTAATAATAATTTTGTGAGTGTTTTATGATCTTTCTACTATTATGTTTTCATTATTTCAAGAACTTTTAATGCATTCGTGGAAACCTTACAGTATAGCATTTATTACAAGGCATGATTCATCTGCATAGATTTGCTCATGCTATCTAGGAAGCTTGTTTTTACTTTAAAAAATCGTTTTTAAAACAGCAAAGAAATCCTGTGCTTCTATGCTCAAACAGTCTTCTGAATACATTGCAAATGTGCTATGCGGTCAATTTGGGACTTGTTTAAAATGAAAAAATATTGGAGTAGATTATTATACACTTTGAGAAATGATCTGCGAGATTATTCTATGCAAATGTATGTAAAGGGATATCAAATCAATTGTCTTATCATTCGTATTTTTGCCGCTCCCAAAGCAAACACTTGAATTAATGTGTGGAAATTAGTAATCAGTTCTTGGAAATTTATAACTTCCGGAAAACGGTTATTACAAATCTTGCATCTTTTTATTTTGAAGTATAAGAAAAGCAGGTCTATTCCCATAAGTCACGTGACCTAACGATAGTCATTATTAATTAATACAATGTTTTCCTACTATATTTCTGCATCGCTTTCAGCACTAATATTAAAGTTTGTCAAGGATTCATCATCGATTATCAATCGTTCATTATCGTAGAAGGTCATATAATCTTGACCTTTCTGCTAATCTTGGTTTTATATATATTTATACATATGTATTTGTTTTGTGTGTTCCATTTTCATATGTAACCGTCACTCTTTCTACTCCATTATCTTTTATATTTTAGCAAAATAGATTTATGTATCTAACTTGTTACTTATTATTGTTATGTGAATTGTGATATGGGATTGCAATCCATGTCGCTATAAGATGTATACAGTGCTATCTAATTACTTATAACTCTGAACATCTTCTAAATGAATACTGTCAATCCTGTACCCTTTAATCAATATAAAACTTGACCTTATATCATTTGCCAACATTTTCTTTGCTCTTCGAATTGCATCAGTATGACCTTCAATTATTTCGCAAGAATGAAACAGTTTAAAATTTTGTAATATATTAAGATATATATGACTTCCTTAGATATGCTTTTGAAGTATTATTACGTTGTTAATGAATGCTTCATTTTATTACTGTATGGAGCAGAATTCTAAATTAGTATGCTATTTGTACAGTAGAAAAAAATTTGCTCAAGATTGTTTATAATGAAACATGTAGTACATAAAACTGATTTACAATTTCAAATCTATAAATTTTAAACAGTACCGTAATTTTTCTTGTAATTTTAAACTTTCAAAACAGTGATTCACCTGAATAATAAATATGCAGCAACTGTTGATTAGTAATGAGCATACATCTCTCTGCTTGCTACCAGAAACTTTCCCCTCTTTCACCTTTATTTCTTGCTATGAAACAAAATTAGAGTTGATGTTGGAGTGTGTTCTGGAATTGTGCCACTGATCCAATTAATTGCAATCTGATAGTAATAGCTCATTCTGATTATATATTTATTCAAAATCTGTTTCAGATGATTAAATTTACTTTTTCGTCGACATTTTATCTTTTCATCTTCGCTTACAGAACTTCTGGTGGGTTATGTTTGTAATTATTCTTCTAGCGAAATAAATCTTCGTAAAATGTGATTGATCCTTTAGGATTTTTTTTTTTCGCCAAAAAATTTATAATTGCATTGAGGTATAATTATTGCATTCTATGAAACTGATGAATTAAATTTTTTTATTATATGTGCTATCAAGCGTTATTTTTGAATTTAGTATATGCTTTTTGCAGCTGTTTATTCCACCTTTTTTTTCTACAAATTTGGCAGGAAACATAAAATCACGTTTATTTCGCTTTCAATTTTATTCCAACATATTGTACAGTAGCACATTAACGTGTGTTAGATGTATAGAATCCTGATCACTTCACTAATTACTTTTTGAATTATTTCATCCAGCTGGAAAATCTTCTATTGATACTGATATACTCAATCCAGCCGGACGATGTCCTGCTGGATTGAGTATATCAGTATCAATAGAACGCAAACCAACCTTTTGTTTCAGTGCATTAGAAATTGAAAGTACAATTTTGTCAATTCCATCATCATGCTGTTTTAAAACACTTCAGATTATTTTACTTTCTTTGCCTTCAGAAATGAAGCTTTTCCAAAATTTCTTTAGGATATGCCTTCCGTTGCTTGGATGGATGCCAGTGTGATACTGATGATGAAGTCATTTATTGTCATAATGGGGCTAGAACTGCCGTAAGTTCTAATTTATTTATAATCCGAATTGTTTAACATTTAGAAACTCTGTATGCAGTTTTCTCATACATTCCTGCTCAATATAACCATAATTTTCAGCTTCATCTTCCAGAAAGTCGTTTGCGCGGCTTTACTGTGATTGGGATGCTAAATAACGCGATCAAGAAACTTCCTGAAGAGAAAACTATTTTAGAAAAATTTCCTGATCTTAAGGTAGCTAAAGATATTAAGAGTCAAGTAAAGTTCTAAATTTCTTGTAAGCAACTAAAAATTATTTAGGCCATCGATGTGGAAGATAATAAACCCTTCGACTGTGAGTCGCTGAAAGGATACAACATAATTAAAGTAAGTTATTGCCCCAAAATCATTCATAAACTACCTTCATACCATTAAAGATTGATCTTTTACGAAGTAAGAAATCAATTTATCTAATAACTAATCATGTTGCGCAGATATACAGTGATTGCGAAGGGAATGACTCGATTATTATCAGAGGACAAAAATTACCGGATATCGAAGAAGTAACTGATGTAAGTCTAGTTTCATCTTATCTTAATAATTAGTAACATCAGACAAAAGTGATTATTCTGATTTATGAATAGATAGGTTATCAAAATAATCTTAACGTACGAGAAACGGCATTCATAGACAGTTTTGAATAATTACTCCAGCATAATTTAATTTTTTCGTATTCATTACATTATCGTATGAAAGAAATCTTGAGTTAGGTCGGGTACATTGAATGAAAGTATCAGAATCAAGATAAATTAGGAATTTTAAAAAGAAAGACGAATTTATTAGCTGTTTGTGTACAATGCAGACCTAAAAGTATGGATTTTTTTTAGACTTGTGACTTCCAATGTCAAATTAACAAACACTACAAGGAACTTCAAGAATATCTTCAAAGAATTTGGGAGGTAATATTTGCACGTCTAATGAGTTGTCCTGACTTATACATGACATTATCAACCACTCAGTCTAAAGATTAAGCATATCCACATCTAATAAGGGACTTCCTATAACTGCCTGTAGTTATATCCGCTGTAACTCACATTTGTAACTTTCTACGCTGATTCTTGATATTGTGTGCTTGAAGTGAAATATTTTTAGATGCTCAAAAAAAAATATAATGAAATGGACAAAGAGAAGGTCGTCCAAGATGTGCAAGACTTCTTCTCCAATATTGTTAAGAAAGTTAAAGAGTTGCAACAGTAACAGACGTACACTGCACTATAATTCTAGTTTTTAAAAATTTGTTATCCACTCAGCACGTAAACACATTTGAAGACAGTGTTCATTGTCAAATTCGGATTTTGATTTGTAACTAATATTTTCATCACTTAAAATAATACTGTTGTAATTCATATTTGACATAGATGCAATGACTATCATTTGTGTTATATATTTTATTGCCTATATGAGTTTACAATACATGTTTTGAAAAGAAAGTAGCAACGGTTGACAAGTCAGCTAAATCTGGAAGCCATGTTGTAAAAAACATTAAGAAAACTGACAATGTTTATAAATCCAAAACAAATGAGGATCTCCACGGTTATAAACGGAACATGCAGTAATTGTAATAAAGACAATATAAAAGCAAAATCAACGGATGATGTGATATTATGCAATATGAGAAATGAACCATTCCACTAGCAATTTCTAGAGAGAAAAAAGGTAGTAAAACACGCAGAAAATGAATGCTCTTTTATTCTGTATGTATCTGGATGACAAAGAATTTTAAATACCATTTAGAAGAGTATGCAAGTAACATTAATATTCGAAAAAGAAATAAACAAGTCTGATAAGGAGATCGAGATTAAATCACTATAACTACAGATAATTGATAAATGTGAAAGATAAGTTACGGAATGAAAAGAAAACAAGTGAGGGAAATTCTAAAACAATGCCGTACACGACGATTTGATCTAGAATGAATCACAGATTAGTGAGACGCATTCATGAGATGCATACTTTTCGATAATTCCATAAACTGCCTGAAAACATCCAAACTAGAAGAATTTAAGGAGAAAAAGGGATCATTCAGTAATACACTATCCCAGAATGTTACTTGAGCAAAAGAAACCTTCGAAGAGTAAGAACCTTCGATTGTAATTCCTTCTCTCGTACTTTCCACTGCACCATTGTTTGTTTTACATCATCCATCTGCTTCCACTCACGAATCCAGCGCAAAAATAAGCGTTCCCAAAAATACTGAAAACCAAGTGTTTTTCAATTAGATAAGATATACTTGATTGAAACAAATATAATACAAGACTTACGATACTCTGCGGGGCGACACATGGCCAGAGCACTGCTGGGTTCGGTTCATACAAAGCATTCACAAACGTACGCAATATTTCTGGATTGTTTACATATGACCATAGAGACACTGTCCGATTTTTAACTCCAAATTTCGCTTTTTCTTTCTCATTGTTTCCTTAAACCTCAGAGTTTTAATCAAAAAATGACATAAAACTAAAAAAGTGCAGTTTTACAACAAACAATAAATTTTTTACAATTTCTGAATTCTCTGCAACAGCTACAGCTCAACCACTACGGCTGATTACTTGAAAAAATTTTGCCTCAATGTATCATGAAAACAATCCCGTTTCAATAAAGACTGTCAAGCACTGCTACAAATCAGCGTAAAATTAAAGGTGATAAATTTTACGAAAAAATATTGAGAAATAATTAATAACATGTTTCCCTTCGATTCCTAACATATTACATGAATCTCTTCACATTGACTAGCACAATCAGAACTAGTTTAATGAACAAAATTCATATAATTACTCTGCACTGGTCAGTTAAATAACAGTAAGAAAAGTAAATTCCTGAAATTTACCGAGAAAAGATCCAAATTCAGATGCATAAGCATGCTCGAATAAAAATATTAGAAACTCTTCGGTGAATTCAAACGAACATGGAAACTGCTGGTATACCTTAGAGTAACTAATATAAGTTATGTGAAAAAAAAAAGTCTAATGATACTTGAAAAAATGACTTTTTGCTCGCAGCGAAAAAGAAAATGACAAACCTGCCAAACACAATCTAAGAAACAAAGAAACACTGGCGATACGTAAGGTTCTGCAATGTTACTGGGGGCAAAAGCTGAATGAGCACACCTCTGAGAGAAAGGATGACCAGCACAAATCCATTCTCGTTCAACAAGGGATTGAAAACTATAAATGGGTGAATCCGAGACCAAGTCCGTAGGACGTTCAACTCAAAGTATTGAGCAAAAATATAGAACGTACCCTCGAATAGTACGCGAATCAGAGTCCAGAAGAAGCTGTGCCAAAGAAGTTATCAAAAGAGTGGAATCAGTACCTTCAGCACCATGTACTACAACTGGTACTTCTAACAACAGCTTTCCTACAGCATAATACATTAGTAAACAATAATATATATTTGTATACCATAAATTTGCGAAACATTTATTTACGTAATTGATGACCTGGCACAGTAGCTTTAAAATGAATCCCCTTAAACTAATCTGTACAAAACAAATCATAAAAACAGAGAAACATTAAATTGACAAAATATGATCAAAAGGCTCTCAACAAATTTCAGCAATAAAAGTTTGAGGATCATCCCCCAACCACTGGCAACATTTTTCAACCTGTAAGTTGCTTTTGAAATCAATCCCTATGACACTGAAAAATCAAAGACTAATACTGATGACAAACCTGAGCTACTTGTATAGTGCAGACACTGGGCTACTGTTGCTGCACATGTAAGCATATCAGAGACAAACTGAAGCCAACCACAAGAACCAAGGCGAGATATCCACCGATCAACACTAACATTTGTTTCTGTACACACTAAAACAAAAGCCATCGTCTACTATATCTGAATAACAGAAAAAAGTAATTGTTTTTGGCCAATTCATCAATAGTAATAATTTTTGGCCATTCCATCAAATGCTACTCCAAAAATCATTGATATGATTAAATTCTAATACAAAATAAGCACTATATCCATCCCGCAAGTTCAAGACACGATGCAATCTAAAAAATTCAGCAAAACTCTACTCAACCTTCAAGACACTGAAGTGAAGCGATACTATCAATTCTACAACTTACATTCCACTAGTTTTATCATCGCATCATAAATTTCTTTGATTCGAGGGGTCCCGCCATATATATATTTCCACTGAGAATAAAACATCTGCGATTCACAACCACCGCCTTTAGTGATTAACATATTCAAATTTTTAAAATTTCAAAGTGACAAAAATTAGGATTATCTTGAAAACTGTAGAGGAAAAAGAATAATCATAGGAGTTCTGCTAATTGCATTCAATAAATAGAATAGTTCAACAATTATTCTTTTTTGAAACCAAAGGACGTATCTCCATATATATATATATATATATATATATA